TGACAGTGATACCTTCGCTCACCAGGGAAGGATGGCCAGCTCAGAGGAGCATGGACATTACTGCTACCTCTATAAGAGAACCAGTTAAGCAGATGCAGAAAAGAAGCTAAATTACAAGGCAATAATTTACCATGCAATTTATAATTCTCAATGCACAGAAGCATAAAAGTCTTTTCAGTGATTTTTATATGCATTTTGTGCCTGGCCAATTAAATTTTATGTTTCTAAGTTCTGGAATCTTCTGTTCTCTCTTAAATATATTCCAGAGTTCCTAAAAAAGTCTTATAGTTTAGTATAGTTGATAATCTACTGCTTGCCAAGTTACACTAATTGGCAGATGGTGATACGTACGTGATTTTAGTGAAGGAGAAGACTAAAATGTAGAATTTCAAATCAAATGTCAAAGTGGAGACAAAAATCCAAATATAAACACTTCTGTTTCTTTTCCCTTCAGTATCACAAAAAGTTAATGGCTAATATCTCACCTCTGGTCTCATTTTACTGGGAGTGAGACATAGAGGAGGTGGACACAGACATCATATGCCAAAAGAGACACAACTGTACAGCAGATAACAAATGTTTGAAAACAGCTCTCTTAGTCAACAGCAAACTGATATAATCACAAAGGTGAAGGGTACATGAGTCTCCAAATACTGGAAGGAAGAAAATACTCTTTTCCAAGGTGGGAGGTCAGGGGGTCTGAAGGGTGGGAGTGAGGGATGTGTAGACTAGGGTATGGCCAGACACTTATTCAGGAAAAGGGAATGACTTAAAGGATTGCAAAACATTGTATCATTCTTAGCAAAATGAGTTTGATATGGAGCATGGGGGTGCTCCATAAATCCATGTAGAGTATAGCATTTCTTGCCAAGTGCCATCTTCTCATCATTACTGTAGAAGCCAACGTTAGGTCCCAAGAAACATTACCGAGCATTACTGCTGTACAGAACATGGCCTCTCAGATGTTGTTGCAGTGATTCTCCTGTCAAGGACCTCAGAGTTGAGTTTCACATAGGAAGGCAAACATAGGTTTCGCTTTCCTGTGACTGATCAATTTTACATGTTAGCATCTGATGTTGGAAGATGGTTACTGAATGATATTCAAAGCAAGATATCCTACTTTGTTTAGATTTTTCTACACGTATGTTGGACAACTGATCACATCAAATCAACTAAATGATCACTTCCACACTCTATGTCTGAGATTTCAAACTCAAAAACCTCCAAGATGAGCAAGGTGGTCAATGTAGGCAAAAAGGTCTGTGTGACCAAATACAGAACATTTGTCCAGCAAGTAGAGGTTGTCTGTCACCAGAGCCCAGTGACTGATGCACCTTTCATGTGTGGCCTGGAGCAGACAGTTTCCTGGAGGACATGTGGGACTGTTCCACCACCATGGGATCATACGTCCAGGTGGTGATTTCGTTGACTTCTGCCTTTCCACAAAAGGAGATCAATTATTCCATCTGCTCCTTTGGTTTCTAAGGAACAGGGTCTCATTCAAACAGCAACTCATGAGTCCAAAGACAGGTCCTTGTCTGAGAATACCGCCGTCAACTATTAGATTCTGAGCGCGACTCTCTTATCCCCATGCCCCCAACCCAAATCCAAGCAACCGACGAGGGGGGGAGGGATGTTTATAGAAAGTTAATGTTAACTGACTGCTCTGCACAATTGGGTTCTGCAGGGGCAGCTTATGTTCATGCTCAACCCACCCTCTCCTCAACTGAGGTTTCTAGATGTGTTCCTCAAAATCCAGAGTAGGAAGCTTCTCAGAACCCAGGCATCTAGGTTTTAGCTGTGTGTTACATTGAGCTGCATTTTAACTTCTTTTTGCTTTTACTTTTTTTTTTTTAAAGATTTATTTATTTATTCATATAAAACTGGGGTTCAGGCCAGAGATGCGGAGGGTGAGAGGATTCACCAGAGACAGAGCGGGGAGCAGAACAGGCAGATCGACGGGCGGGTCAGGAGAGGTCTGCCGTGCCTTGTGGATCTCCTCGGGGGCAGGCAGGGATCGAACTCATGCGGAAGTGGCTTAAGCTTCTTAGTGCTGTGCTTTAACCCGCTGCGCCACCAGGGAGGGCCCTGCTTTTACTTTTTATAATGAGAAGAGAAGCCACAGAAAACTGTTGCTGCATTTGTGGTATTAAGACAACTAAGAACACAGTCTGCACAGTCTCTCTTGAATGTCCACATGAGAGTTACTATGTCTGGTAGGCTTCTTTTCTCTAAAACTATGAATTGTGTATCTCTTACCCCTGGCAATTATTTAGAAAAACATATGGCCTGTGAACCTGTGGATACTTTCTTTTTGATTTTTACCTTCAACTCTAGGGTCCTGATTCTCTAATATTTTACCAAGCTATATCTGTTTTCCCCAAAGGTGCCTCAAGCTTTTCCAAGCTACTTGGTGGTAAACACAAACCTGTCTCTGAATGGGAAATGCATGTCTGTCTGTGTTCATGTGTGTACTGTCTCTGAACATCAGAAGTAAAAACACAGACTTTGTTCTGTAGTTATAAATTTAAGGTATGGCAGTTCTAGTTTCCTCTACAGCTAAATGACTAAGATGGCAACAGAGACCTTACAGCAGGGTGAAGGATGCACAGCAAAGACCGGCCAGTGCGGTGACGGTGGCAAGAGAGAGGCCGCCACTAGGAATACTGTGGCTGGGCTTTGTCTTTTCCACATGTTCCCATGCAGATGGCTCTGAAGCCAGAGTTCTCAAATATGGGCCTATAAAGGGGGAGAGGCCCTGAAGATGACTCCAGGACCACACAGGCGGGGTGCTGTTATTGGTCTCTGGCCACATCACACTGAGCAAGACAGTTTACGTTCTGATAAGGCACAACATGCAGGCTACCAGAGCCGAGAGGAGCTGCTCTCCCTCACCTAAGCTCATACCAGCAAGCTGTATTACTAGAGGTGGTTTACCCAGAGGATAAAGATTCAACTGTCGGGCAGGACATGATGAGGACAGACACAAAGCCACCCTTCTGTGCACTGGATTTTATCGCCACCTCTAAAGGCAACTACGATGACATGAACCAGCCCCCTTGCTCACTTACCACCCCCCCAAAACCTGGGAGTACCCTCTGCACAGTAAGCAAATATCCAGACACACGGGCAGAGTCCCAGCCTCTGGCAGTTTAGATTTTCGAATGAGGGACAGACTAGAAAGCACTGCAGAGCAAGGCGCCCTGGAGGAGGCACACCTGGGATGAGCCAAGGAGCCGGGACTGCTGCCCCAGGTGGCAGCAGCTAGATGTTCCCGGAGCATCAATCACCTGCAGCAAGTTACATACCAGCAGTACCCAAAAAAAGGAGACCTGTTTGGTCAGTTGCTGGTGTTTAACAGACATTACCACCGGCTGGACACAAACACACAGGGAAAAGCACTGAGAAGACATTTATGAGCATGAGATTTTTTCTGCACCTCTCCTTACATGCTTAAATTACAAGGTCTTTAAAATTCAGGAAGCTCATTCCACCTTCTTCACTCCCCCCCAGCAAGTCCAGAATCATCGCTTTGGATGTGATCAGGAAGTGGGTACACAAAATTATAAAAACCATTTGCTCCTGCACAATTCCATGTACGTCACATATGAGACCCCGTTTAATCTACTGTTCATCACTTCATTTTATAGATTTGGAAATTAAAGGTGGGAAGACAAAAGGATCATTAAACTTTTTGTATTGGTGGGGAGGCTGGAGAGCGAGCAGAAAATCTTCTGCACTCTCATTTCTTACAGGGAATAGTTACTACGTTTCTCTGTGTGTAATTCTGTTATATATATTTTCAACCCTATCTTCCTTTTCCTTATGTGTCTAGATAGTGGGTAAAACAATGCTCTCCACAAGTGCTGATATCTCACTTGCTTTTTATTCTTTGTCTCTATCCTTTTATTTCTTCTGATGGAAGGGCATATTTTAAGTTTTCCTCCCTTGCAGCATCTAAACTGAGTAAACACCATGTACAAAACACCAGTTCATCTCATGAAAGGTCAAAGGGAGGGGTGGATTCTATCTGAAGGGATCTTTGAAGAATCCTGTTTTTGGGCTACAAGGATCAACCAGAAAGCTTGCCAATATTAATGACCAAGCACTGATCAAAGATGTCTTCTTCTAAGTAAGAAAACGTTAACTTAGATGAACAATGTCTTTTATGCTTCAAATTGTGATAGCTTAGAAGCTGTATATTTATAAAATGGGATACTACTCAGGTAAAAATGTGAACTCCTACCATTGGTGACAACATGGGAAGGACTGAAATGGAATTATGCTATGTGAAATAAGTCAGAAGGAGGAAGACAATATTCGACTTTACTCACATCTGGAATACTAAGGAACAGACAAAACCAAACCAAAATGAACCCTTGAGATCTGACTGCAGAATTGAGACTACCAAAGGGAAAAATGGGGGGGGGAGGAGGAGCAAACCGGGGTAGGGGTCGTCCAATAGACTATGGTAGAAGATTCTCGTTGCTTTGGTGATGGGTTTGATATGGTGACATTCATCTGAAGAAGTACACATCTGTACTCGTAAACTGCATATAGTGCTATAAGCCAGTTACCTTAAGAAAAATAATACAATTTAAAAAGCAAAAAACCAGGACTACAATTGGGGAAGCTCCAATGTGGTGTCAGTTACACAGATCACCTCCTGGCAGCAAGGCCAGGAGGCTTGGAGGAGGGGACTAATGTGGTGACAGGTTCTTTGATCCTTCTCTTAAAATCCTGATATTTTTGAGCTCTGAAACACAGCCAAAGATGACAGCCACGTGCAACCTGCTTCTATGGTTCCAGTATTCTTTCTGACGGATGGAACGATGATTTGCTCCCTAGCTTCCTAAGCGCACAGTGGGATCTTAGCAAACCTTTCTGAGTGCCTGAGTATTTTCCCTGCCTTACAAAAGGCAGCAGCTGCTGGGTGAACCCACCCTCCTCCTCCTCCTACACAGATTACACTCTCCAAGAACAAGAGAAACCCCACGTACCATTAACACATTCAAAGACATCACAGCACTTTCCAGGTGTCCCATCTCCACGGGAGACTATGCGGGGAGTGGATCCCGCCTCACACACCGGGAAACCACATAAGCCAGAGAGACACTCGCATCTGAAACCAAAGAAAAGGGAAGGAAAACCCCATGAATAAGTAACAACACAGGAGGTGGGAATCCAGAGTCGCAGTGGTGGTGGTGATAAACTCGTCTATGGGATACTGTCCTTTATCAGGGCCCTGGGGGCCAGGGAGGACTTCTAGCATAACTGGCTTCCCGAATAATGGAGGCTCCTCTTCTTAATATCCACTCCGATTTTAACTTCAACCATTTCGACAGAAGTGTGCCTCATTTCCTTAACCAAACTGGTACAGAACATGGCTGACGTGTCCTGGCTGATTTGGGTCCACTTTTATTTGCCCACATTGTATTTTTCCCGAAATGTTACTGCTTTGCTATTGACCTTTAGGTGTTTTTCAGAGATTTCTTCTGTCAACCATTAAGTTACCAGCTTTCCAGGCTGTTTGTGATCAGTGTGATTGTGTGGCAGCAGCTTCATCCTGAGCTGCATTCATGAGTGTGCAGTTGTGCAAGACAGAAGCAGCAAACTCTCAGGCCGAGCGGCTAGTTAGAGAGGGCACGGGCTTCAGAAGCAGACTTTCTGAAAGCATTTGGAAACTTATAGTCTTAATGTTTTGGATGATCTTCAGTACTCTATGTGCCTCCATCTCTGAGTGCATGAAAGAAGGGTTCCATGACAGGCAAGCTCGTTCTGCTGCCCCTCATCCTTAATTTTGACTCTGCTGCAAACTTGCCTAGACACAGAAAAATAAGAGACTGGTAAAAATAAGAAGAGAGGGAAAAGTTGTCGAGTCCTGATGCTTTTGTAGTGGAACAGAAGGCAGAAAACGAGCTGTTCAGGACAGCAGGCACTGGGATGGAAAGGCAGTGCAAGGCGCTAGGGCTAAGTTCTGGGCCTAGGACTCCAGCGGTGGGATGAAGTGTGGGTCAGTGGGCTCCCAGGTTGACAGAGGCGACAGGAGGTCTTCTTTATGCACCACTGGGGCAGGGACAGGGAAGGGGAACATTCCCAGCAAAGAACTATTAACACATTCGTTAATTCTGGGTTTCCCTCCCTTCTTTGATTGTTTTGTGCTTCTAGTGTTCTTTTAACAAATTAAAATAAGCTTGTAAGTCCACAAGTACCTTAACTATCAGATCCAGAGGTTTAATTACATCTACAGTTAATTGCAAAACTAAAAAGGAAATAAGGCCAAATTTACACTGCAGATCACTAAAGCCACTCAAAGGTGTGACTGACTTCCCTCAAGGCGGACCCATTCAGACTTCTCCCATGGGCGCAGGTTATGTGGTTCCTGAGAGGAGAGGGTGTTAGATCACTGGGGAGTTGCTGGGGTGGCAGGTCTGCTTATGGTGTAAAACAAATATTTACCTGTTTTGTGTGAGCAGAGCTGGGTGCTCTTGATTCAATCTGGATTCCTACAGGACAATCACCTTCTGGGGCAGAGTAAATATAAACTGGGCTTTCAGTTCTGGCCAGGCTATGCACAGTCTTTCATTTTTATGTGCCCAGTCACTGCAGTTTTAAGCACATAATCATAACGCTGTGACATTACAGTAATAATACAGTGTCTACATTATGGCACTTGACACTGTACAACTTAAAAATTTCCGAGCTAACAGACCAGAGCATGGAGCTGTATCTGAATGTAGTTACAAAGCAAGCGTATCACAACAAGTGCTGGCTAACCTTTTCTTTCACATCTTCTTGGACTCACGTTCTCACCTCCTGATGTGTTCCAAGGAATCAGTATAACTTAAGCACCAAAGAGCATGAATCTTCAGATGCTGGCCTGCAACACTTCGGCAGCCCCTACTGAGCAAGCATGTACCAGGCTCACTGAGAGGTTGTGAGAAATCACAGCAACCTGAAAACAAACCTGAAAACGACGACGTTACCCTAACTCTCCTCCTTTACCTTTTATATTGGACCACTTCCCAACATTTACATCTCTCTTGTTTTCCTAGAGACCCACAAAGGTTGTCTCCAGCAGGTTGTAGAAGACCTAAAACTATACACCACTGCCTATTAACTCACTGAATGGAAAACAAAGACAAAAACCTTTATGCTAAAGCATTACTTCTAAACCCAGAATGACTGCACAGTAACGATGCAAGGAGTCAGATGGCTGATTTTGCTGGCTGCCTGCTCCCAGATCATCTCCTAACTAACAACCTCTTGTAAGTCCTCCCTACTTAATGCTATCCTGTAACTACTCACGGCTCCCCTTGAACCCGAGATCAGCAGATGTTAACAACCATTAGCATGTTAATAATGAAGAAATTTACCAGACAACCAAAAAAGGTGGAAGCCTGAGTTCATACTCCAGCTTTGTTAGGGTGCGTGTTGGTGGGACAATGGTTAGCACGGCTGGCCTTCCATCTGTATCAGGTTGGTATTTTATGAAAGTGCCATTTGTGCAGGTTGAAAATGGTGAAACGGCAATTTCCTGTAGTTCAACATAACACAGCTCACATGAGCAATGTTTTGACAGACCTGGCTACATTCACTGACTCTTGGGTAGCAAATCTGGAACCCCGTCAAGACCCGTATTTGTCAAGGAAATTTATTATATAAATGCAACGCAGATTAACTTTATGAAAACTTATTTCCTAAGGTTATTTTGGATTGTATAACTACACTAGAGGTAGCTACCCTTTCTTTTAAAGATGGAACTAGCAAACTACAGTCCAATCAAGTATCCTGACATTGTATTAGGTGCTCTGTGCTCTATTTTTCTACTAAGAGTCTAGATTCTCTCCTACTGATTCCAGAAGAAATGCTGAATGACAGATCAACTAAAGCATACAAGTTTTATCTTGCCCTTGTCAACCTTTTTTTTGTCTCTTACCATTAATCTTTCTCCTATCCTTTACACCCTAATACAGAGCAAGAAAATGGAGAGAACACATAGATTCACGCCAAAGGAAGCAGATTAACATGTAAGAAAGAAGTTTATGAAGTCAAAGCCATCCCTGTCCCTTACTACTAAGACCCTCACTCCCCAATTTCCAGGAGACTTTAACCCGGTCTCTCTTCACCCAGGCATCTCTCTCTCCCAACTCATGCCACTCCCAATCTAGGGCTCAGCTCCAGTTCCAGCCTCACAAATCTTCCACCCTTTGTCCGGGTGGCGTCTCCAGTGTTGCCAACAGCCCCGGCTTGGCCTGACTGTGTCCCTATATTTTAACCAGTAAGCTGGGAACGCTAGCTGAGTGCTCTGTGTGTAGTCATCTGGCCAGGGCCTTTTCAACAATGCTGCCCCAATGAAGCACTAGATGTCTTTTATGTAAGAATGATTTTTTTTTTAAACAATAATATCCTTTCAGAAAATTCTAAGTACTTTGTAACTGCATGACTTAACCTGTGATAAAAGCAGTTACTAAAAGTCCACCTTTACCAAACCTTAAAAAATAACAGCTCCTCTCTGAACCCCCCAAGAACATACTTTCCTTAAAGCCCTTCACGCTCAGTCGCCAGGTAAGTATGATGAAGGGGCGGCCTGGCTGGTTAGAGGTGGGCTTAGGGTAGTCCCTGCAGCACTGGCAGTGAGGCACCCCTGAAATATACATGCTACTTCAATAAAAATAATCCATCAAATACAAGTATTTCTCAAGTGGAACAGAACTCGAGATGAATAAAAGAGGGATAATATTTATCATACAAAACTCAGAGAAACAGAGCTCTGAGATTTTTAAAAAGCTACTTCAGACAAGAGCTATTTGCACAACACCTTGAGCGGAAGTATGAAGGGCTTTAAAAATAAGTGAAACAGCTTTTATTGACATAGTTCACACATCATAAAATTCACCTTTTAAAAAAAGTTTCTCATTCCATAGTTTTGCATTCAGAGGTTTGTGCAAATTCACAGGTTTGTGTGTAAAACCACTACCTAATTTTAGAACATTTTTATCACCTCAAAAAACAAACCCTGAACTCTCCACCTCTCCTCACCCAGCCCTTGGTAATCACTAATCTAAGTTCTCTCTCCATGGGTTTGCTTATTGGGGGCAGTTCAGGTAAACAGAACCACACACTTACATGGGTTAAGGGCTTTTAAACTTCCAACAAGAAACAACCCATATTTTGCTATTTGCCAGAAAAAATCTAGACTCTAATGTTATCCTCAGTATTAAGATAATGATCAAAGTGCGACATTAATTAATTTTTGCATAATGTAATCACTGCTGCAGCCAGGTGGAACTTGGCTAAGCTGTCTTCCTCGCTCTCAAGTAGGTAATGGATTCAGCATTTAGGCACCAGAGTGCCTTAGTGCAAGGAAGAACAGCCAGGCGATCCTCTAAGCCCCTAGAGGGCACTCCCCTCCTTACAAGGCCACACTGGCCACTTCTGTGCACACTTAGCTCCGCTGGGTGCCTTCTTCCTGGACTCTGACAGACAGCCCCCACAGGCTGACTGGGCACAGCTGCAAGGAGCTCAGAAGCCTAGCCTCAGTTTCTCTTCTAACTTCCACATCCCACTAGTTCCACCTCACACCTGGCAGCAAAGGCTCACTGAATCCACCCGTCCCTTCCTTCACCTCCAGAGAAGATCACGTGTCTAACTGGGCTCAGACCCCTTTTCTCCGTCAGCCCCGGTGAATTCCACATGCTTAAGACCACCCACCCTGCAAGGCCTTCTGGCATCCTCAAGCAACAGGGATTAATTTTCTTTCCTCTGACCTTTTAAGACATAAGGGTACTGAACTCTTGGGAGTACCCACTCATCATTCGAAATCAAGATCCTAGTGTTTCTCTGATGAATGCCTCTAGTGAAGGGGGCCATGTCTTTTTTTGGCTTGTAAATGAAAAAATGAATGATAAAGGCTTCCAAACCATAATAAACACTTTCCTTTCATCACTAGAAAATCTGAGACTAGTTGCTTTTACAGTTCTCATTTTCTGAAATCTTTCAGCCTGAGAACAAACAAAATCCGCGTGTAATGACTTTGGGATCTACCTAGAATGCGGGACCTGGGGGCCATGCTTCCGGTTTGCTGTTCTGCAAGCTGACCAGGGCTCCTGAGTGTGCGCC